GCACTATTTAATTGCCACTCTGATTTCCCGAAATCCCTTTCATTTCTCTCCTAAAATCGTGCAATTCTTGTGGAGCAGCAGAAACCGACTTGTGCCTGGCACTACAATGTGTGTGGACTATTGTGGGTTTTCAAACAAATACGAGTATACTCCTAGCAGCCTTTCTGCCCTGCCTTTCCTTGCCTTGCCTTGCCTCTAATGTTGCTGCCGGAACCGCCCTAATGTCGACTTATGACACCAAAATATTTAACTGCTCAATTTTCAGGCGTTGCGCTTTCCCCAGTCCCCGGTCAGAGAGGGTGTGTGCCGGATAACAAGGGGTTACACTTGAATTAGTCCAAAGGGATTCCGATTCCGATTCCGATTCCGCTGGATTCAGAGGGGTTGGAGTGCGAGCCGGGCAGGACAAGGCGTTTTGTTTGCTTTGTGTCAAAGGCGCAGCGCAGCCTCTGTCTGGCCTTGCAACAATTGAGATATATTCAATTGGCAACATGCGGCAACAACCACCGGGGCAATCAGCTACAGCTATAGCTACAGCTACAGCCACCACCAACACTAACACTTGCCCCGCTGTCTGTCCCGCTGTGCGAGCGATTAGTTTGGGAAGCCCTTGCCCTTGCCCTGCCCAATGTGGCGCATCCGTGAATTACAATTGCGGTTTCCTTCTCAGGAGGCACAGTCCACAGTCCCACAGTCAGGGTGTCAGGGGGTGGATTCTGCACAAATCACTCCAGTTGTTCCTGTTGTTGGTCTGCACTTGAAATTGTCAGCAGGTGCCTGTGCCTGTGCCTTGCCCTCTCCCCTCCGCACACAGATACGAGCATAGCGTTATATCGTTCTACCGTTACTTAGTCACAGTTGCAGTAACGGTCTCTGTGTACTGGACACTGGAAATTGAAATCAATTTAACTGCATTTTGGCTGCCGATTTTCATGGATTGAGGATTGAGGATGAGGCTGATGATGATGACGATGACAATGACTATGAAGAAGGCCTTGTGTGTTTGGGCCATTAATAAACATTTCGTCGTCTGTTTGTGTAATAAAAATGCAATTCCCATTAAGTGTCCGAGGGGGTTGATCCAATGCGTAGGCGGAGGCGCGAATATGCCACATCCGTGCTTCGTGCTCCGTGGCTGACCAGCTGAGACAGACGCTAAAAGGCCCGAGTGTATTATCGACCATGATGGGGTTCACGATGGGTTCAAGTCACTCCGATTGCGGCTCTTTGTGGGTTGAGCGAAAAGAAGAACTATTTTAGATGATTCAAGAGTAGACTTTCAATATATTCCGATATATAATTTTTATCGAAAAAGTATGAGCTAATTTGAGACTTTTTCGATAGGATTTTGGGTATTTTTTTTGGAAGAATTTGAAAATATACTTAGAATATGAACTTCCTATTAGTTTTCCTAGAGTTTCCATGACAATTACAACCTTCTTGAAGCAGAGAAGCGCCCCCATCACAACCCCTTTTAATTCCCACCTTGAGTGATCATTTTTTTTTTTTTTTTTTTTGGGTTATTTAATGAAACATTTACCGCAAATAAAGTATAATTAAGACCCATTGTCTTATCCCAGGCTCATGTGAACAAAGGCCAGCAGAATTTGGATGTGCGTTAAAAAGGGGTGCCACAGAGAGCTGTTGAAAAGTCTTTAGTCATCGCCCAGAAATGATTTTCATGTCTCAGAGCCATAATGATGGCGGCAATAAATTCGCATTAAGAACGCCTTGAGTCAATTCGATGGCACGCAGATGTTGTACGTTGTACGTTGTACGATGATCTTATGGAATGACTTTTTAAAATTCACTATAGAAACTTTTGAACCGATCCGATCCTGTGGCGGGTTTCGGGCCACCCTACAAACATCTAGGTTCGGGTGTACCTTCAGCTAATTGCGTTTAATTCGTTCAAAGAACCCGCATTCTGACTCCATAACTTTTGCTTTTTGTTTTATGCAATCATAAAAACATTCATTCGTTCAATCAATAATGCAACATAAAGATCTCTCTCTCTCTCTCTCTCTCTCTCTCTCTCTGTCTATCTGTCCATATCCAATCCACTCGCTCAACTCGTGCCCCCGTGGCCCGAGTTGGCGACGGAAGTTGCTGATTTTGTGACCGTTTCTCTGATCGTTTAAGATTGATTGATCAATGGTTTACGATCACCTAAGCCTCGGTCAACGACTCGCTCTCTGGGGGTCTCGTGATCTTGGGCTGTTGGGCTGTTGGGCTGCTGGGCTTGGCTTCTGCTTTTGTTGGGGGCGGCAAACGCGTTTGTTGATTAAATCGCAGGATGTTATCGATCATTGCATAAATTAACATACGACTTTTCCCATTCCCATTCCAAAACTCCTCTTCTCTCTCTCTCTGTCAAGTTTCTATTAATTTTTATTGCCATTGTGTGTAATTGCTGCCGCTGGAAAAGTCCGAGTGGAAAATGTGCTAAGTAATACAATCAGATATGTGATTAGGGAACTAGCTAATCGTGGGAAGGCAAACGAAAACATTGTAGGCTGCATCAGGGTGCAGAAATATATTGGGATTATTTTAACATGCTTTGGTTCTTATTGGGAAAATGAGAAAACCCTCTGAAAAGGGGAAAAGACTATATATTGGAGTATGCCAAATATTACTCAATTGAAAAATGCTGATAAAAAAGAATTGTATACTATTCGATGAAGAAAAATAAAAGAATGTTGGGAACATAAAAGAAACTCATTCATTCTCCTGGAGAATATCCTGCAATTTAGAGGAGATTTCCTCTGGCACTTATAAATAAATAACTAAGAAAAAGATCAAGCTAAGAGCCTGCACCTACAGGGATCTCTGACTCATCCCACAATAATAAACTGTCCAAAGATAATAGGCAGCAAACGAGGTTTAAAAATGTACATATGTATATAAATTTCAGTACATATGTAGCTATGCAAATGTTAAGTATAGTATTTGAGTGCAAAGTTTTATCTAAAGATCCCATTCATATTTTGGTTTATCGAATTTTATTATTATTTATGGAATTTATTTATTGGCAACTCATTCGTATTTCCAATTAAAGTAAAGTAAGATCCAGACAGATAAATTCAGAATGATGTTATTGAAGTTTTTTCCATTCCATCTACACATACATTTACTTAACCATTTCATTTAATATTCCATCTCTTCCACTACAAACTAGACTTTTGCTCACGTGCGAATATTCCAGCTTTTCATTTATCTATAAACGGAGAAAAGCCAACGAAATTGTCATATGCAAAAGGAGAAATGGAGGAAAGGTGAGTGTTACTTTTTATACTCCGCATATGCATATGCAAATGTGTGTGTGTTCTGTGTGTTTGTATGCGGGGCAGACAGTAATATTTTTTATTGATGAAATTGGTTTGGCTACAGCTACAGACTCCATTTGCAAAGTAGACAAGTTGCCGCTGTGCAAATTGCAGGCTGGGGAATACTCGTAGACCAAAGGAGGTGGACGAACAGGAGGAGTGTGCGAGCGTATGCTCTCTCTCTCTCTCTCTCTGGGATGAGCGTTTGCAATTTATATTTTTTATTGTCAAATTTTCGTTTTGTACAGAACGCGACGCCAAGATGAAGATGGAAAATGGCAGCGAAGGATTAGATTGGATAGAGTGGGGATACGGGATAAGGTAACCCTTGTCTGGCCTGGTACGTGATATTTGATATCTGCGGCCGGACACTTTGGGGAATAGCAAACCGAATTCACATACCAACCGCCCCACACCCATCCACTCATGAGTTAATCATTGGAATTGGCATGAATATTCATATGTGTAATGCTTGGGTACCAGTATTTCACTGTATGATTTTTTAATATCTTTATATTTGTGTTGACGTTCGGGCATAACCTTCGGACACATTTCCCGTCTATTGTTTGACTTGTGAATGGTGAAAAGGGTTCGAGTCCTTGGAGAATTTTCACAGCAATCGAATTATATATTTATGATACCTAAATGTCAGGATATTGAATATCGAATATCGAATTTGATGACTGAAAGTTGTATCCTTGAATTAACAAATGAGAAATATTCGAATGCTTTTAGGGACATCCTTTTATATTGAGTAAAAAACAAACTTTTATAATGAAAAGATCCTCCAGAATTTGCTTAATAAATTTAATTTATTTTGAAAACATAAAAATACTTAAGATTTAGATTAGTTTTTGTTTTCCATTCATATTTTGTTATTATAATATTACATATATTATTTTTGTTGAACATTAAAATGAAAAAATTATATATATATTTGTTTAGCATTGTTTTTACATACATACACGTATTATATGTATAGATAAGTTAAAAAATTTATTAATTAGACTAAATTCATTGGAATGATATAATATCAAAATAGTTACAGCGATTTTTGTTAAAATTTCACAACTATCTAGAAGCGAAAACTTGGAACATTCTTTTGGTTTTTATTTAATTTAATTTTTTTTGTTGTTTGTTTTGTTTTATTTATTTGTTACATTTTACAAAGTACGACACGTACGACATATTGATGGATTTTTGGTTTTTTTTACTTTTATTTTGATTTTGATTTTCATTTAATTGGAAATCCCTTCCTTCCATCCACAGAAATCTCACATACATCAAGAAAAACATTGGGAAACGCATTAATTTTTGGTTTTTGGAATAGTTTCTGGTTTGCTTTGAAGATGAGAGTGTTAAGAGAGAGAGCTATGTATTTATATGGCAATATCTATGTTAGATTTGATGAGAATTGGAGGCTGACTATAGTCTTTAATTGTATTAGTTTTGTTTCCTGTCTAATTCTTGGATTTTCTTTGGTATTATTTCGTGTTAGTTTTTCTATTCTGTTTTGTTTTTTTTTTTTTTGGCAACATGGGAAATTTTGGTTAACTGTCTTTTGCTTAAAACTATTTAAATTAGTTTATCCTTTTCTTTTCTGGTTTTTGGTTTTTGGTATATTTTTCAAACATTACTCAATGAGTGACGGCAAAGGAAAATGCCTGACGATGATTATTTTCACTTCCATCTATTGCACAATGATTGCGGTTGATTTGGATTTGGCCTGCCCCATGCTGTGCTGCTGCTGCTGCTGCTGTTGCTGTTATACCAGCAGCGATACCTTCTGGCAGTTGAGGGAACCCATCTGTGGTCCGCCTGCTGCTGTCGGCCCGGACGTGACCGCATTGGGAACCCTGATTCGCTGGCGATGGACCCGCCTGCTGGCCAGCCACTCCCACTCCCACTCCGGCCGCCAGTTCGGCTGAGGCAGCTGCTGCCGCCGCTGCTGCCGACATGAAGTCCACCTTGCCGAGATGGACACGCAGATCGGTGTGCTGTGTCTCCTTGTGGCGGCGCAGGTCAACCTTGCGCTGGAAGGACTTGTGGCAGAGCTTGCAGGAGAAGGGCTTGTAGCCGGTGTGCTTGCGGGAGTGCGTTATCAGGTTCGAGCTCTGGCTAAAGGCCTTGCCACACACCTGACACTTGTGCGGTTTCTCACCTGCAATGGAAAGAGACAGAGGGTGATGTTAGAATAAAATATAGGATTTTTGGTTACTCTTTTTATATTTATTATTCTAATCAGAGTTGCTTACTTTCGATAGGGTATCCCTAGAGTTCATATGTTCATTCCACAAATACGAGTATATACTGTCTGAATATTCAACCAGTGTGCGCCATTTTAAGTATATTTTCTGCTTTCATGGCCGCATCCCTAACCACCCACCCATCATCGACACACACACACACACATGCAAAAGCTCCGACTCTTCGACTCGCCTTGTGGCAAGAGAGTCATCCCCAAAAAAAAAAAATCGAATCGTCGCCAGACAGAAAGCATTTCGGGGTCCCTTCTCCCGGACCAGACCCACGAACAAGACTCCCCATGTAAGTCATCTCCACAGACCACAGGACGACGCTTCATCCAACAGCCACCCCCCCCTCCTGCAACAGACTCATCTGGGTGGTAAGGAAATGTGGCAGAAGAGTCCTCGAGTCCTTTTTAAATTTCAACTTTTTTGTTGTTGTTGGTTCATCTGTGTGATGTTCTGTGGTTACGCTCCAGCACTTAAAGAACCGAATAATTCTCGTTGCCTTTGCCTCTGACAACAATTTTTAAAGTAATTTTCTTCGCATTTTTTCCTGTTTCCTGTTTCGTATTCTCCGCTCCCCCCCCCCACGTTGCTGCTTTATTTTACATTTATTGCACATTTTCATTCTGTTAAATTTTTCATTAGAGATTTGGGGCGAAACAAAAAAAAAAACCCCCCAGTTCGAAATGAACGAATTTTGTTTGGGCGCCAGAAAAGCCATCAACAATTGTGGTTTTTGTAATCAAATCTCAGAAATTAAAGGGAATATTTTTAGGGCTTAGCTACAGACAGGTCATATTGTTTAATGTGCACTTGGAAAGCGGTTTAGTGAGTGAGCGCGGAGTTGGATCTTTGATTGTCTGTTAAATTTCGAAAAAAATATTGCTTTTGGTATGGAGAATGGGAGCAAGTGTTGAGCTTCTGGTAGGGAAAATTATGGCGGCTCTAGCGGGATCCACTAAGGTATTTTCTTGCTATCAGCATTCCGAGAATTTGATGAGCCCATTGAGCTGTACAAGATAACCCTTTCGAAACAGTATTGAAAGTAGTTGTTTGTTCCATTTCTACTTTAGTATCCATTACCAGACCTTTTCTCCAATTAATCATCTATCAGTGAAACAGCTCTTGGTTCTGCCCACATTGGCACACCCCTTCAGCTTTGATTATATTTATTTGTGGCACCACAAAACTTTTGCCAGTAGTTTAAATGTTAGCGGAATGTACTACGTCGCGTATATGTTTGTATATATCTGTAGTGCCTATCTATGGGAGATAGTGGCATAGGTTGGGTTACATTTTATATACCATGCATAGATATACGTATATACATATGTACGTATATACTTGTATACAGTGAAACAGATTGAGGGCGATGGCAACAGAATAACGACGACAACATGCTAACTTGAGCAGAGGGGAGGACCTGAGACTCTGGTTTCTGCTGCTGCTGGGCTCCCTACACTGGTTTCAGAATGTGTATATAAAATAAACATACACACACACACACACACATACTCTCAGAGGGATATGTTTAGCAAAGGAGACAAGAGAGAGAGTAAGAGAGAGAGAGAGAGAGAGAGATGAAAGAGAGAGAGAGCTGTGTACACCCACCGAAACGAAAGGAAAGGCAACGGCAGTGGCAGTGGCAGCGACTGCTTCGCTTCGTTGTATATAATGGAATTGCAGCGACGTGATTGTGAAACATTCGACCGTAGGGATGTGCTCTGATTCAACTTTTAGCTCCCGCGGCATGAGAATCTCTTCCTCTTCTGCTTAAGAATCTGACGGGGTGGTGTAGGGCGGGGGCATGGCCATGGGGGTTGGTGGGAGCAACAGTAAAATTGAGTAGTCAGGCGAAAGTTGGCTCTCAGTTGGCCTCACCGAGAGACACAGAGCTGATGCTGATGCTGATGATGCTTGCTGAAGGGTTCTTTCGTTCTCCTTGGGGTTCAAGGCAGGCTCTCTGGTTGCTGCTGCTGCTGCTGCTGCTGCTCGGGGCACGTTCGTGCACTATCGGCACAAATAACGTCACGTAGTCGCAGAGATTATAGAGCAGCTTTTATTATTTATCACGGCTCGAGCAACGAACACTAACGAGACCCCAAGCCCAAAGGGGGACTAGGGAAAATAGCAAAAATCCCGTCGGCCGTCGGCAGTTACCAAAGCAAAAAAAAAGACTTTTGCGGGGGGAAAGTGGAAACTACTGGAGTCTGAAGTACATAGAACCATGGCGGGTGGGGTGCCTATGTATATGTGGGCGGGGGGGCGGCAAAGTTATTTTGCTCGTTTGCTTTTTCAAGGATTTTTATTGCATCACATTGTGGAAGATAGAAATACTTTTAAATCTTGGCTGCCCCTTCTGAATGGCTCTCCTCTTAGTCTTCTAATATTTTACGCTTTCGTTTTGCTGCTGCACTTCACTTTCTACTCTATACACTCCCTCTACTGCCCCCCCCCTGGCATCCCTATTTTCTAATTCAACACGTTCCAACATATTTCGGTGGGCATCAAATCACGCATACGCCATGTGGACCGTCGGCGAAACAGAGGGAGAAACGGATTTGGGGTTTCTGGTTTTGATTTGTGAAAAACATGAAGAGGGGGTGGGATGGATACTTTGAGTGTTGTTGAAATTTAAGTTATAATTGTGAAGAGGGTGAACGAAAATTGTGGGAAATCTTTGCGAAAGGATTGGATTATATTATTATTTAATTGTTTTATTTGGAGAATGCTTATTTATTTGAGGTAAATTATTACTCTTACAGACGGCTATAAACCATGTAGATTTTTTTTTTTGTGTTCCAGCCATGGGAATATGGCAACAAATAATTTATTAGCGTCCCTTAAGAAATAAATGATGCCCAGATTGAATACCAGGAATTACGAAAATGTTTACCTAAGAATTTCCACCTTCTCAGCAGATTAAAAAAAAAGAATAAAACCCTCTGGATTTTCGTGAACGTTTCAACCTTTAAGAATCTTTCCCACCTTTTTATCGATTTGTTTCAACCAAAGAAAATAAAAAAAAAACACCATTGCACCTTTGCCACAATAAGATTGAATTTTCGAATGGAAAAACAAAATTCATGAATAAGTAAAATATCACAAAAAAAAAAAAGAAACGTATTTGGTTCCTCTTTCTACCCATTTTATGGCGCATAAATTTTGGGCAAACGGAAAAATCTGAGGCAGGGAAATAAAAGCGAAACACCAACAAAAAAAAACAAAAACAAGTGGGGAAAATGGTAGCAAAACACAGGAGAAGGATATAAAAACATTTGGCCAAAAAGTAAATACGCGAAAATGAAGAAAGCAACTTGAACTGAACTGAACTGAACGGAACGGAAAAAAGCAAACAAAAATGGTTCAGGAAAATCACATCATATGAAAAGAGGAAAAATCTGCTGTCTGGAATGGAAACACGTCTCACAGAGAGAGAGAGAGAGAGAAAGCGAAAAGAAGGAAAATTAAGGATAAGTCGTAAAGAAAGAAAAAGGAATTTACCAGAGGAGCACAGCACAGCAGCACAGCAAAGGAAACGGAAACGGAAAAACCAAAACAGTTGAATGGGAAATGGGAAATCTTGAAATGTTCTTCAAGCTAACATGGCCACATGTGCGGACTGTTGTCAGTGGGAGAACGCGGTGGGGTTGGGTGGGGTGTTGAGGGGTCGGCGGGTCTGGGTAGGCACACATCCTAAATCGAAGACGGCAAAACGATAAAAATGTCTGGAATATTTCTCTCTTTCTCTGCTTTTTCTCGCGCTGTATACACGAGTATGTGTGTGTGTGTGTGTGTGTGTGTGTGTGCAGATTTCTCTTCCACTGATTTTACCAGACATCCGCTCGGTGGGAGGAGTTCGAGTGGAGGGAAGGAACTCTTGCTTATTAGAGGTTATTATCCTCGCCATTTGTAAACTGATTTGAAGGCAACAGGAATTTACGCTTTTTATGCCTAATGATCCAGACTGCGTATACATACATACATATAGAAGGGAAATCTGATGAATCGATAAAGGTACTTATTATGTTAGCAAATGGAGGATGGAGCATTATATGAAACCACGTGGAACTGAACAAAAATAAACCTTTTGGCATGAATTTACTATTTAGGATATAGAATATAGAATAGAATAGATTTAATTCTGGGACTTTATTCGTTGTGAAATCATTAAGAAACTTAAGTGAATTGAAAGGAAATTGCTTAGTAAAAAATATTATAAAATTAGGATACAATATTTTCTGTTATGAGAAACTACAGAAAGGTTTTATTCTTTTGAATAATACAAAAAAAAAATATTGTCTAATCAGATAAAATTACGCATTCACATTCATTATTCAAACATTCCTTAAAACAAAATAAAAATCCTATTATTTTTTGGAGACTTAAATTTCAAGCGAAAAACATTTATTGAACATATGTATGTCCGCAATAGCAAAATAAATCGCATTTGAGATTAGAAATTTTCACGTAGCCATCAAGAACTTGAAATCGATGCTAATGCCTTGGCCCGCCGCACCGGCAAGGCAACAGCCGCACCCACCGCCCAGTGACCTTCTCCGCGTTCCGCGTTCCCCGTTCCCCGTTCCCCGTTCACTGTTCCCCGTTTCAGCGTTCCCCTTTAGCCGTGTTTCAGTTTCGGTTCGTAATGGCGGAGAGGCCAAACACCAACCTGCCGTAAGGGTGTGTGCATATGCGCCACTTGTATATGTGTGTGTCTCGTATTTGTTATTCGTGTGTGTGCGCGCGTATAAAACAGAAAATCAAAATCTCTTGACTAAATTTTTCATTGGTCGGCTGTGATTTCTCTGTCCGCTTCTGCTGTTGCTGCCTCTCATTCTCGCTCACTCGCTCACTCACTCACTCGCTCACTCGCTCACTCACTCACTCACTGAGGCGTTCGTTCGTTCGTTTCGCGATTGTATCTGCATCTGTGTGCGTCTGTGTATCGTGTATCTGTGTGGCAGACCTTCCAGTCTCTCGCTCCCAAAGTCTTGTATATAGCAGTCCAGTCCGTCCGTCCGTCCGTTCGCGTTCCTTTCCTCACTTTCAGCCTCTTATCAGCCAGCAGTGCGGCGGCTCCTCTCTCGCTCACTGATTTTATAGTTGTGATTCTCTCTGTGTTCTCTGTGTGTGTCTCTCTCTCTCGTTATCTCTAGCACGCTCTCTCTGGCTTATCTGTGCTCTCTCTTTGCCTTGCGATTTTCGAGAGAGTAAACCGTGGAGCTCTTTCGTCTGCTCCATTTTTTTTTTTTTTTTTTTTTTTTGCACATCTCTTTACCCTGCCGTATCTTTTCTATCTGGTGTTCTGGCGATGGTTTTTGGCTCTACGATGGCTGGGCGATGGCAACCGTAATTGGAACTGGCGACGGACTGCGGCTTTTGGTGGTGGTTTTGTCCAACGCTTTAATGGCTACGCTTCCTGTCCTGTGCCCCGATAGTGCCCCCCATTTCTTGCCATTTTGCCCCCTTTTACTGGGCTTGTCTTTATCGCAGATACTTTAAAGTTCTTTCTGTAGTCTCGGACCCATATATGTACATATACACATACGATAAATGCAGAGGGTAGACTGAGCTATAGCAAATCTTTAGAGTGCACAAATCTTAATATCAAAATTATTCCCAAGAGAATAGAAATGGCAGCTTTATGTGGGATGTTGTTCTTGCCATACCTTTCCCAGAGAGCATTCCAATTTCGTTTATAAGTTTTCAATGCCGAAAAGAACAGGGTTGTGAGCGCTTGAAGTGTATGAATATATTCGCGATCTGCTCTTATAGGCCTGTAGATAGTTTCCACCAAAAAAACTCCACCGATTGTCGTGGTATCTGGCTAGTTTAAGGGCGAATCTATTGCTTACCTGTGTGTATATAGGTGTGCTTCTTCATATCACTCTTCTGGTGGAACCGCTTGCCGCAGTAGCTGCAGGGATAAGGCCGCGTGTCGCTGTGGATGAGCAGATGGGTGGACAGTGTGCTGGAACGCTTGAAGCGTTTGCCACACTGCTTGCACTCGAACACCTTTTCCACATTGTGCACCGCCCTGAGGAGCACACAGAAAATGAGAAAGAAAGGGAAAGGGAAAGAGAGAGAAAGAGATTCACGTTAACGAGCGTTTGCTGTAATTAAAGCCAAAAACTCCATTCTCCAAATCCCCCAAGGTGGGTGTGGTGGGAGAGGGGGGGACGGGCTTCGGTTCTGTTTTAACTACTGCCACAAAGGCAAACATTTGGTCTGGCTAAAATCCAGCCATTTCGGCTAAATTAAGTAATGCAAAGTGTCCCAGGACAGGAGTCCATTTCGGACCATCCAGACAGTGTCCGTCCACTCATTAAGTATGCAGAGCCGGAGCCGGAACCAGAGCCGGAGCCAGAGCCCCCTTCTCCGCCCCTTAGCCTACGCTCTCCCACAGATGGTGGCTTTTTGTGGCCGAATGCCACACTCACATACCTGTGCTGACTGAGGCTGACCTCATGGCCGAAGGTCTTGTTGCACAGCTCGCAGGCGTAGGGCTTCTTGCCGTGATGGGTCCGGCGGGAGTGCACCTCGAGGCCGTGCGGCGTGGAGAACATCTTCTCGCACTTCATGCACGAGTACAGGTCGCTGAATTGGTGCAGGCCCGGCCACTTGGCCGCCATGTGATGGAAATGCAGATGTGGCGCGTGCGGCAGACCCAAGTGTCCGCCATTTGGTGGCACGCCCACACCCACGCCCACGGCTGCCGCTGCTGCTGCCGCTGCCGCAGCCGCTGCTGTGGAGTTGTTCTGTCCGGCGGACTGCAGCGGCACCATGAGACTACGCAAACGGAAGAGATTTTCCTGCGAGTCCGGATGGTAGCTGCAAATGGGAAATGGGAAAAACACACACATTTAATTAAGGCGAGTTAATTAAGAATAGGACTAGCCACTCGACCGACCACTCGCTCCCTCCCTATCTCTGTCTCTCTTTGTCTGTGTCTTTGACTAACTAAATTAATGGCAGGAACAACGAGGAAAGAATCTACATAATGCTGAATGGGTAAGGGCTTAAAGTAAAGGTTTAAATACTGCAGTGAACAAGTGTGAATCGCAGTTAAAGTGATGCCTGATTCGCTGCACTTTTATTTCTGTATCTAACTATTCTATCTAACTATTCGATGCAGAAACTTCTAATGGATAGTGCCACTGAAACACAGCTTTCATTACTAGATGCATCTATCAAATGAAAAGTGTTCAAACTAAATAAATTCTGTCTGCACCTGTGGCTTAATCGCACTCAAAATCCCTAGGCCTAAGCCCTACCTCTAAGCATTAATAGATCAAAGATCCCCGACTTACCCTGCTCCCAGTCCAGACTGTTGTTGCTGTTGCTGCTGCTGCTGCTGTTGGCCCTGGTGGAAGGCAACGGCAGCAAAGAAGGGCAGAGCGGGCGAGAAGAGTGGGCGCTGGAACATGGCCGCCTCGTAATTGGGCGGATAGCCCTGCCGCATGGCCTCCAACGGATTGAAGGGCATGGCCAGGGCCGTGGCTGAGCCAGCCAAATGACCGAGTGGTGGACTGCGTGCGCGCCTGTGCTGTGGCTCGTCCCGCCGCAGCAGGGCGGAGACCGAGAAGAGATCCGACTTCTTGGAGATGGAGATGCTGCTGGTGCTGGTGCTGCTGTTGGCCGTGATCAGCAGCTCGGAGGCGGAGGCGGAGGCGGAGGCGGAGGCGGCACTCGGCGAGCTGATGCTGGGACTGCCAGGCGGTGAGTCCACCTCCAGTTCGACGGAGGAGCTGCTCGAGTGGGAGCGTGACCGCGAGTGGGAGCGCGACCGGGACCGGGGCGAGCGAGAGCGGGAGTGCAGCGAGCGGTGGGAGTGATGCGAGTCCGCATCCTCCATGTCGATCTGCGAGGAGCTGTGCGACGGCGTCCTCGATCTGGAGCGGGAACGCGACCGGGAATGGCGCAACTGTTCGCTGGCACTGAGGAATGTGGGCTTGGATCGCAGCAGGATCTGTTGTTGCTGATGCTGGGGAAGATGCTGCTGCTGCTGCTGCTGGTGCTGCTGGTGCTGCTGCTGGGGTTGATGCTGCTGCTGCTGCTGCTGATGGTGATGATGTTGGTTTTTGCTCAGCATCGAAATGGAGTTGTTGTTGTCCTCCAGTGGCGTTGGGGGCTTCAGTACCGCGGCGGCAGCGGCCATTGCCGTCAGGTGTTCAGTCTTAACCAATCTGCTTATGCTAAAGGCGAGAGAGGCATCTGCAACAGAGAGAGAGAGAGAGAGAGAGAGAGAGAGAGGGCGAACGTTTAGTGAAATCAGAGCGAGTCGTGTGGCACATCAATCATCAATCATGCACCCAAGAGAGCACGAGAGGGGGGAGGTAGGAAACCTGTCCACCTGTATCTCTAACACACACACACACACAAGCACACACACACACTCAGAAACGAACACACATCGTACGGTACAAAGCATATCGAATTTCAAATGTAATTATTTTCGTATTCAATCGCCTAATCCACCTTACATGACCATTAATTCACCCTAATCAACGTATCCTGCCCTGCCCTGCCCTGCTCAGCCCTGCCCATTTTGCGCCCCTTCCCTTGTGCCGCATTTGACATCAACGCATCATCATTCGGCATCGTCACCCCGAGAATATTGGCCATCGGTAGTGTCGGTCCGTGTGCCTCCGGACGGACATGGCGCCGGCGCTCAGGGTTGACGCTGGCACGCCCCTGGACCAGAGCAGCCACCCGACAAGAGTGTCGCAAGCAAACAGATAAAGTACAGCAAAAGGGCATATGTAAATGAGTAAAAGAAAACGATGGAATATTAATCGGGGACATTTTGCTCGTGGAAAAAAGTGTCAAAGAATATTTATAATCTATCCCAATACTATTCCCATAAATATCGTATTAGACCCACTGCTACCACAATTATTTCATAGCCATGATCCCCTTTTGTGTGGTGCACAAACAAGAATATTCAACGCTAAAGAAGACGTACACTCCGCATCCTCGGGAGTCGAGTCGAGTCGCAGTCGGAGTCGGAGTTGGAGTCTATCGTATCGCCTGTCGAAATGAAATAATAATAATGTGCGTTTAAATAGAACATCTGTTCGGTGCACACTCGGCTAAATGGAGCATGACAAAACAGAAAACACACACAAAAGCAAAGGGAAAGGGCAACGGCAAGCGAAGTGAAGGGAAGGGAAGTGACACGAACTCCGCCGTGGCGACATTTTGCTGAGGATTCAATTGACGCAGGCGCAGGCGTATGCGTATGCTGTGTCGGGAAAAGGGGTACGGTACGGTACGGGTACGATGCGATACGGAGCAGCAAGTACAAACCGCGACACGGGGCTGGGAGGCCTGATGCCTGATGACTGAGGCCTGAGGCGAGTCGAATGAATGAATGAATGAATGAATCCGCATCGCTACAAAAGAATAACAATTTGACAACATTCTAATTCGCCACGGAGATAAAAGTAACGGAGCAAAGACTCCTTGACGAGGGGGGGGAATGGAATGGGATGAGTGAGTCTTTGTTTTGGCTGAAGGAACATATAGCGGGAGGTAAATACAGGGGCGGGACTTTGATTCCGTAAAAGTAAAAGTAAAGTCGGTGAGGCGGCAAAACGCAAAGCCAAATAAATATAAACAAAAAGCCCACGCCACGCACAAATTGTGCCGAATGGGACACACAGAATATGCGGAATGAGCGCATTTTAGTTGAATGGCAACGGCAACGGCAACGGGAATCTCTTTGTATCCATCAGATACACAGCAACACAGGGAGAGTGACGAGGGGAGTGAGTGCTGCGCACCGACTGTGCTTCAATCTTTCGTGCCACAGTGTCAAGTGTTTTTATTGCCCTTCTGTTGCTGTTGTTGCTGCTGCTGTTGTGGTTTACTCTTTGCTCTTTGGATTTTTGGTTCTTGATTTTAAGTGCTTTTCAAAATGAAAAATCTACCAGCAGAGCAGCCACAACTTTGAGCAACTGTTGGGTACAGTAAAGCAGTTCAAAAAAATATCATCATCATGGGAGACAGCAAAAAAGAAAGATTTAAAGGATTTTCGGAGGTATTAAAGCGAAAATTATTTTATTTAAGATATTCTTGGGCTGGTTAGTGACTCTGTTTGATTAGCATATATGTAGTACAAGCCTATCCGCATTTTAGACGACATTGATTTCCCTTCTAATCCCTTCCTAGTTAACACTTTATAATTAGAAATTAAGTCGGGAACAATCTGCAAGAGTTCTAAGGCTCTAAATTAAATGCATAAATTATATGGTGTCATCTTTTAAGAATTATTACATTTAATTTAATTTGTTGAGCAGTATATATATTTCTTGGAACTTTCAACTATAAGTTTGCAATTAAAATTCGTAAATTTTATACCAAATTTTCTGTTATATTAAAAAGAAAAAACAAATCTCTTGTCTCACCCTCTAAAAAAACTAAATTTTAATCATTGACATTACGGCAAATGTCGATTTGCAGTGCCACCCCCCCACCGCATGCCCAGTCCAACCCTTTTTATTCTAATTATGCACACAATCGTCCCGAGAGCATTTCCATTTCCCCATCAAAATGAATACGAATCGAATAGAGGAATCGCATAACCCCGTACCCGTACCCGTACCCGTAACCGTGGCCCACACGCACAGGACCTGCTCCTGTGTGGGGAGGAAGGATGATGATGGCTGGGGGTGCGGAAGCTTAGCTGGACAAATAAAATTGGAAACGTTTAACGTTTGGAAAATTGTCGGCTGGCGACGAAACTAGCAGGAGCAAAGCCAACCCCAAGACAGGAGGACAAGAGTGGGCTCTTGGCTGTTGGCTCTTGGGTGGCTACTGGGCGGCGCACGTAGAGCCGACTTGTTTAAATGATAATAATGAGCTTAAGCATGTGCCCGATGCCGCTCCAGGGATGAACTGTACGCTGGAGGCTGACAAAGTGGCAGTGGCAGTGGCACAGTGCTGGGTCCTCATCCTGCTACAGCTACAGCTACAGCTCCTGCTTCAACGACCCCTCAACGGCCGGCAGTAAAGTCATAAATTTGTGCACATTAGACATAGCCGTCGTCCACCCTCATCCTCGTCCTCATCCTCATCCTCACCCAAACCAAATCCTCTTTTTCCCCTCTGGCGTCGCTGGGTGCGTCGATGTTCATCTGTTTTTATTCGCCCGGGAGCAATATTCACGCACTCCACGCACTTGTTCACAACACAACAACACCAAAAACAAAACAAAACAAAACAACAAAAAAAAGAAGAAGGTAAAATAATTATTCGACACTGCATGGTAATTGAAATCATTGTTATCCTGTCCTCGGGATGGCTCTTCCTTGTCTCACCCTCTTGTCACGGTTTGGCTGTCTGTCTGGTCTGTCTGTTTTGTGTGTCCCCCCCCCCCCCACCCCACCCGCACATTCAGTCTGTAGAAGAGGATGGCTGCTGCTGTGGCCCATTGTCAGGCTTATGCCAGGATTATTATTGTTTTGGGGCGATTTGCAGCCATTACTGTTTGGTTGGGGTTAACGATTTCCGAAAGGGCTTGAGGCTTGTGCTGCCACGCATATTGGATGGAGGTGTTAATTATTGTAATATGTTTTATAATTTTATGGCAGTTTTCGGAAATTATGAAAGGTTTTTTTTGTGGGGTTTATTCGCTATGGAATGTGGAGGTAATTGAATGAAAATCAACCTGCGAATGGTTGATGTTTTCTATCCGTAAATGTTTTTGAATATTTAAAATATTAAAATATATTATAAATATAATATTATAAATATAATATTATAAATTTATATTATATTATATTAAAATATATTCTGTATTGATTTAAATAATTAATTGAGCTGTCTAAGGAGAGGCTGTAATCCTAGTAGACCCAAAAACTCTTAAGTCATTGGCTGGATGACTTTGCAAGTAGAGTCTTGTAATGATTAAAACAATTAAGATGTTGCTCAAAAGAAATTATGTTAGGTAGATTGAAGAATATTCACAGAAAGCCAAAGCCAAAATAAGTAAACAAAAAAAAAATACTCCAATATTTCCAAAAAAAAATATTTAAAAATAAATAAATTAAATCCAATAAATTATTTTAAATAATCCTGCACCTGCGGAAATAATTCAACTTACACAAAAATACTGCAATATTTAAAAGTTCTATAGTTCTTTACCAATAATAAATCCAGGTATATACCTGGGCGCACTTGACGATGGCAACGTAGCTTATTTGGGTTTATTTTCATATTCAATCTTTTTAGAATTTACAACTGCTCTTCTGAGTGCGAAATCAGTTGAGTGAGACCGTCCGCAGGCGCCACACGAGCGGGCACAAAGTGTGCAGTATATTTAGCAGGTAGGTTCACCAAATACTCGTCAGTTATCGGATCAAGTGAGTTCCAGAAATATTCGTACTAAAGAGGAGTATCGGGAGTACCGGGAGCGGCTGGAAGGCAACAGTAGTCGGAGACCGGCCTGCCTGCCTGCCTACCTGCCTGCTGGTGACCATAATAATATAAAAACAAATTCAGCTTTCGGCAAATATGAAAGTGGTAATACGACAAATAAAAATATGAAAGAAAACAGTGCAATATAAATAATAATATAGAGCCAGAGCCCGAGCCAGAGCAGCGGAGGGCCCACGGACGACGCGATATGACCAGAAGAGGGGGCCATAAACTGTGAACGGTTAGATAGATTAGGCCATGATTTGGTCTGTGGCGGGTCTCTGGTCTGCCGTTGCCGTTGCCATTGCCAGTGCCATAATGTGGAATGTGTGTGTGTGTGCTGCTCAGCTCATGATTTACGGATACGATGAGATTTCGTTGGATTTCAATTTTGGTTTCAATTTCGATTTGGATTTCAGTTTGGATTTCGATTTGGATTTAATTTCAAACCATTTCCATTCGCTATACCAATTCCCATCTGCCCCCCGCCCAATCTATGATGTCGATGGCATATCAGTGGTAGAAGCTCTTTAGCCTGGCATAAGCTCAACTCGTTGAGTGGCATTAGATGGGGATTGCGTATCCAAACACCACTCACAACTCAGTTGGCAGTTCCCAGAGAATCCCCCAAGAAAGATTGAGCGATTGAGCGACTGAGCGATTGAACGGTTGAATAGTTGTCAACCGTTCCGTCCCTTCCCGTCCCGTTGCTATCTGTCCGGCGGTGGCTCTCCTTTGATGCAACCTCGCAAATATCGCAATTGCAATTACATTATTTATTTTTACACTGCAAA